AAAAAAAAAAAAAAAAAAGACTTACTTGCAGTCGAAAGATGAAGAGAATTCTCGGAGTTATCTGGTAAGGGTAGAAATTAGGGTTGTACACGTACTATACAATATATATATATATAGTCCATGTGTTAATATATTAATTCAGAGAAAGAAAAAAAAATTAAAAAAAAAGGTAAGTACAAAAGCTACAGCCGGTTGGAGTCAGGAGAAAAAAAAGATATTAATTCTTGCCTTAAGTTTATTACAATAAAGGTAAGGAAAAAAAACTGAAACTTGCGTTTTTTATTTTTTCAACACACTCCAAGTGAAACGACATCGTTTCACCCTAAGATTGTTTTTAAAGCACTGCACTCAAAACGACGTTGTTTCATTACAAACCTAAAAAAAAAAAAATCGAGTCATCTTCCTCGCAGAAAATTTACAGACTCTCAATTTCTTCCGATTCAGAAGTTTCTAGATCTAGTACGCCTTGCTCCGCCTGGCCACACCTTGCAACGCCTTCTCACGCCTTCCCAGAGCTAAACGTGCAACTCGCAAAGCAGCTGACTGCCTCAGGCATTTTCCTCCCGTTTCGCGCCGACGCACGCGAAGGCAAGCCTTTGAAAACACTGTTTGTGAGTGAGAGAAAGTGGGGGTGAAAGATGTTAGAATCCATGAGAGAGGATTGCAGAGCTAAGAAAGCTAGAATTTGTGAGTGAGAGAAACCAAAGAAGAAAGATCAAAGAGAGATGAAGTAGAATTAAATTCTGTTCTTAATGAATGTGATTACAAGAGGGAGTGCTATTTATAGCAACTCAATGACAGCTAATTAATAGTAAAACAATAATTAACCCCAAATTATTGATGACGAGGCAGGTCAGCTATTAACATGCCTCTGTCGTGTCTTGGCCTCGTTCCATGTTGAACATGATTGTGTTTAGATCAACACCCATGAATCTCACCCCAAGAGCGCCAGTTCTCAAAACTTTAGTCCATTTCATTGCAATCTCAGCTAACGTCAATCGATGGAGCTTGTTGATTGCTTACTTTACCCTTCAATGTAATGCACAATGGAATCTTGTAGGAACTTGAAAGACTTTCAAAAATAAAAGCTCTCACATCATCATCATCGGCTATCTCTATTGGCAATTCAGTTTTCATTACTTCATATATAACTTTCATAGTTATCTCATACTCATTTGGGTCCACATTCACAATGTTGTACACTTTCTTCTGAAGCTCCTCCAATGTAATTTTATCTGAAACGAGTACTCTTTTAGTTTTGCAATTTTCGTACATTGAGTTAACCCACCTCCCATCATACTTAATCATAATTGTCAATCTAGACATTTCACTGAAAAATAAACCAAAAGAAAAAGTTAATTAAAAAAAAAATAGCATACACATTCACTAAACAAGATTCTTACCCTAGAATGTCGACATGAAAAAATAAAATTGAAAAAGCTATTTAGCTATAGAACAAAAATAAAATTAGAAAAGCTAGTTAGCTATGAAACAAAAATGAAATTAAAAGATAGCAGAGATATGATATGTCTACGATGAGATCAAATATAAACTTTATATTACGTACTAAGTTGAATGTAAAAGTATTAACGAAGCACAACATCATACTCTATAGCAAAGCCCATGTCTGCTTGCTCCTTTCCAATAATATGCAATCTGCACAGTGGCATATACAAAATCTAATTTTCCTTTTTTAACTACCAGTCAAAACCAAAGAAGATTCATGACAAGGCACACCCATGAACCTTGCCCTGACAAATGACATGCTAAAAGGCTAAAGAAGCAAAACAAAAACGAGAATACATATTATAGCATACGGAGTTTTTAAAACTTGTTCTAAGTTGGAAAAAAGAAAAGAAAAGCTGCATAAAGAAGAAGAAGATGAAATAATACGTACCCTTGAGTTAACAACGTTGTAGGTCTTGTTTCCCGTTGTGTGCAGAATCCCAACAGAATAAGTGCAGCAACAACAAGAAGAAGAAGAAATATTACGACCGACAAGTTGCAGTAGTTGTTGAACAAATTGCCAATGCCAACAGACCAGCTTTTGTCTGATTTAATTTCATTGCGAGCAATGACGATTCTTCTACGCCTCCCTTTTCCTAGCACGAAATTGTTCATCATGTCGTTAAAACCAACTTCTTTGGCTTCTGATGCTGAGATAGAATTATTTGTAACGATCAAGGAATCACTAATTCTCTGCCTTCTCCTCACCCTCCTCAGGGTCGTCTCCATCGGTCCGAAAGACAAAATACTTTTACACAATGAAAAATAGCAGAAGAATGAGAATATGATAAAATAAAAAAAGGGACGAGAGGAACTGACAAGGATAAAAGTTTAGAAAGAGAACCAACAAAAAAAAGAACATGGATTAAATAAAGATGGTGTTCGCACAAGGCCATTGGGCCAAATTATCTCCCTTCTCACTAATTAAGTGCACCCAGATTCCATTCAGATTATATCTAAATGGGGTTAGCTTTGTCGGCTAGTGCTGTGGGTGGGGTGTGAGAGCTGAGAGAGAGAGGAGACAGAAGAAAGAGGAGGGGAGAAGACCGAGGGAGAAACAGAGATCGAGACGTGCAAGATTTTTAATTTTAAATAATTAGGTTGTACACACACAGACGCATGCAAGTTCGGTATTTCAAAAGTTTCCCAAGGCTCTTTTTGACTTGGGGCTCTCCTTTTTCATTATTTATACTGGCTCCTTGGCAATTGGTGTTTTTTAAATGTTTTATTATTTTATTTAAGATTTTAAAAAGAGGCAAAAAGTATAAATTCCTTTACATATGTCACTCAAAACACATGATTCTGGAAGGGAGGGACTTTCTAATGCACCAAACATGGGTGAGTCTTTGCCAAACTTAATTTCCTCCTACTGAACTACAGTGTGAACCCTTGAAATTGCCACCGTTTTCCAGAAGTAAATTTGTAACACTCCGACTCCAAATTTATTGCTTATTTTAATTTATTTAAGTGAAATTATGAATTTATCTTTGGGATAGGGAAAATTTGGTCATTTCTAATTAGGAAGGAATTTGGAAATTCCAGCTGTACCGTTGTGTAGAGCACAGTGAGATGAGTCCGTAGACACGTAGTGGGCTCGAATCGGAGTTGTAACGAGAGATATACGATCAAATGAAGCTCAGTGGCATAATCGTAAATATTTCAAAATGGGATTTTTTTTTATAAAAGGTCAGAAATGCCCTTCTCTCTCTCTCTCTCTCTCCTCCCGCGCGTCTCTCCCTCTCTCCTCTGGTTTTCGTGACAGCCACCGTGGCCGTCCGGCCACCACTCGGGTCGGGACCGGTCCCAAAATGACCGGTCTGACTCCGCCGTCCTACCCTACCCGTTCTCTGACGTCAGCCGGCAGCGATACTGCCGGAAATTGCAGAAAAACGGCCGATTTTTACCCAGATTTTTCGGAACTCGTTCCGGCGATTCCGGCCACCAAATCTTGCGATCAAGGTATGCTTTCTCATCTATTTTCCGAGCTCTAGCTGCCTGTTGGATAGGAATTGATCAATTTGTAGCGTAAGCAACTCGATTTACGAATTGGGTTTTAGCCGGATTTCGATGAGAGATTCCGGTCACTTCCGGTCAATTTTTGGGGTATGCCCAAGAACAAAAGTGACTCCAAATTAGGTGTATTACCTACGATAGGAGTCTTGGCTCTCGATTTGGAAGTTTTCCGGCGATGCGATATCGCTTTGGACACCCACGCGATGCTGGCGCGTGCGGCGGCGCGTGGGCACTGTTGTTTAGGGACATTTTTGTCCCACTGCGATCCTCTCGATGTCACGAGCGCATAGGTGTGCTCGGATCTCATTTTGGGTACCGTTAGAGTCCCGAACGGATATCGCATATCGCGTATTTTTCGGGTTCGCTAGGTTCGGACCTTTGGATGGTCCTGAAGTTGTAATATATTGATTTAGGTATTACCAGGATTGTGCAGGATTCGACAGATCGTAAAACGGAGTCCCGGATACTCCGGAAATGCCAACCCTAGGGGTAAGGTTTAGTAACCGTCCGATCGTGCGATCGTGAGCGATCCGACCGTCCGATCTGGACCAAACTTGCAGGACATGTGTCCTAGACCTTGTAGAACCTATAGGAACTTTCGGATCATAATTTGGAGGTCGTGGGCCCCACGGGCCTATTTGACCAAGTTTGGGTAGTTTGACCCTAGGTTGACCGCTAGACTTTCGTTGTAGTTCTACCATCCCAGGAGGATTAGAATGACCTTAGTGACAGGTCTTGAGCGTTGTTGAGTTAAATGATTTATATGCGAATTTAGGATATAATTATATGATTTAAATTGCGGAATTATCAGATGCTATACCAGGATTGAGAATTACGAAATAAGGCATTATATGTGATGAATGAAATTATATATTTAATTGTGTGGATGTATAAACGTACATAAAGGGATCGAATGTTAGTTTACAGTGCTATACGCACTACCTCATATACCTCCCCTATATTGTGATTATGTTGAGGCCTTTAAACCCGTGCGGCTGGTGAGAATATAGTCAGGCCCAAAGTGAACAGTATGATGGCTGGTGAGAATGTAGTCAGGCCCAGTGTTGAGGTCACACGCGTCTTTGGATTAGCCTGCGTGTTGACAGACCCCATACGTGGCCGGGTGCGTCCCAACGTATGAGGGGAGATATGATTGTGTGCGGGCTGGTGACAATGTAGCCAGGCCCAGTGTTGAGGTCGCACGCGTCTTTGGATTAGCCGGCGTATTGACAGACCTCATATGTGGCCGAGTGCGTCCCGACGTATGAGGGGAGATATGATTGTGTGCGGGCTGGTGAGAATGTAGCCAGGCCCAGTGTTGAGGTCGCACGCGTCTTTGGATTAGCTACTAGGTGCAGCCACAGATTAGACCCCACTTAGGTGGTCTTATTGAGATTGGTTCGGACCTCGTTGTTGGTCCCGAAACTTGGTTAAATTGAGGCTTGTCTTGGGGACTAAGTGAGTGAAGGTGTACATGAATAGATTTTGAATTTGTTATATGCATGTTTGATGCATTAAGTTATTTTTAAAAACATTGTGGGTAGTTCTGCAAGAATCTTTTGAAGGTCGGAGGCCATTTATGTAAATTGTATGAGATTATATTATGCGTGCTGCCGGTTGGGTTATAAAATGTGTTTTATGCAAGTGGAAATTTTGGGGAAATGTTCAATTTACAAGGGAGACTCTGCCGAAATTTCGGCAGGAAGTCTCGTGCCCTTAATCCTCTCTGGTAAACGAGGACGTAGATTTAAGGAGTGAACCCGGCGTGGGGGTGATGTCGGGGTCTCCGCAGGGTTCGTCTCGGGTTCCGGGAAATTCGGGGCTGGTCCTGTCAAAATTACCTTTCCAATATGAATGAATTTGAGATCAAAATTCCTTTTAAGAGATGATAATGTTTCATTCTTATTCATTCGAATGATATTTTCTTTGATTTTAATTATGTGTATGCGTAACTAATTTTCTATTGCTTAGGCGAGGTCATAAGCCTTAGTATGAATATGTAATTTTATTAATTTACTGATGAATGGATGCATGTTTGCTTTGAATTACTAATACTGCGTTTAATACTATCTATCTATTTTAATGACTGATTACTATTAGGATATGTAGACAAGTAATTTGATGTAATTTCTATTGGAACATCACCCTGAAATTGAGGATGGCTTCTTGTGATTAGTAATTATAAGTTCACTTAAGGCGAACATCATTAAGGGTTGCATGGTTTTTCAAAGGGTCTCTTCATAAAGCTTAATGAGTCTTGCATGTTTATATTTGATATGAACATCACAAATGGATTGCATGTTAGATATATGTTTTCGCTTGAACATCACAAGGTAAATATGCATTAGGAAAACTTAACCTTCAAAGCATATATGTGGGAATTCATAAGTAATTGATAGAATTGCATAGGATTGCGATGGTGATTGCTAAACCCTAGTTTTCTCTAAATTGTTAGTCTTTAAAAAGAAAACGTTTTTCTTCTTTGTACCGTAATTAGGGCTCTACCCATTTATTCACTCGACCAAATTTTTTTATTTTTTTTTTATAAATTTTGTTACACGCCAAGAATTCAAACAATTAAAATAACGTTTTGTACGTATTCGGTAAGAATGAAATATTCTCAGAATTATCCATTGATACGACATGCTGCTTTTTCCATTCATTCCTTTCAGGATCAGTCGTGGTCTTACAAACTCTACCGATGATGTGGACGAATCCGTTGCTTCATACAAGTGTGTAAAAGATGCTAGTCGCACTTAAAAGCCGAGTACTCTACCGTTGAGTTAGCAACCCCAATAATTAGAATGTGTAGATACAATCAGAATCCCAATAAATAACGACCTTGCATGAGCACTTATACTACGATTATTTTGTATTCTTGCAAGTATTTACAGTGATTTTAACCCTATTGCGCAAGTTCTAAAAATCCTATCACTTACGCCACTACCATTTACTTCAAAGAGGCCTTTCAGCACACGAACAGCCTCATGCTCTCTATATGCCACAAAAGAAGAAAAAGCCACCCAATCTTGTGGTGAAGTGAGGCTTTCTTGTGATGGAAGAACATGGTTTCTGTTATCAGCACCGGAGAGATGTTCTTGTAAGCCGAGAATGGACATGGAAGCAGCAGATAAAACAGAGAAGAACACAAGTGGAACACCATACTCTTGGGCAATCTCCACTGCCCAATGAGGAGCAAAATCAAGTATTAGCCAATCAGGCAACTGATCCCCAATGAACTGCTTAATGGGTTGTTGCAGGTGATCATATGCAACCTTCAATTGGTCAATTTTTACAAAAGGGACGTCCACAGTTGCCTCGGCGCCAAGAGGTCAGCATCCAAAGTAGGAAGTGGAATGGGGACTAGTTGTATAAAGGGTTGTAAATCAGGTGAGATTTTGGGGAGCCTTTGGATGTTTTTTGGGGTGGATATGTAGGAGACATGAACTTTGGCTTTTGCTAAGGCTATGGAAAGTTGAAAGAAATGGATCATATGGCCAAAGGCAGACCATGGAAGCATCACAACATGAAGATCATCTTTTGCCATGGTAATATTTTATGCTGGTATGGAATTTGCAATAAGAATGACTTTTATTCATGCATTATGTGGATGTGTTGCGACTATATAAATACTATGAAGTAGGGTTTTTTGTCACATCCCGGGATCGGCTCCTCTGTAGCACGATATTGTCCACTTTGAGCCCCCCTCTCTGCCTTCACGGTTTTGTTTCTGGGAGCTCACGAGCAACTTCCCAGTGGGTCACCCATCTTGAGATTGCTCTAGCCCCAACTTGCTTAACTTCAGAGTTTCCATGACTCCGAAACTAGTGAGCTCCCAAAAGGCATCTTACTAGATGGAGGCGGGCATGTACATATAAGGCACATCACCCCCTCTCCGTTGGTCGATGTGGGATGTTACAATTCACCCCCCTTAGGGGCCCTACGTCCTCGTCGGCACACTCGCACCACAAGGCAGAGTGGCTCTGATACCAAATTATCACATCCCAGAATCGGCTCCACCGTAGCACGATATTGTCCGCTTTGGGCCCCCCTTTCTGCCTTCACGGTTTTGTTTCTGGGAACTCATGAGCAACTTCTTAGTGGGTCACCCATCCTGAGATTGCTCTAGCCCTAACTTGCTTAACTTCGGAGTTCCTATGACTTCGAAGCCAGTGAGCTCCCAAAAGGCCTCGTATTAGATGGAGGCGGGCATGTACATATAAGGCACATCACCTCTTATCCGTTGGTCGATGTGGGATGTTACATTTTTTAACACGGGTAATGCTAGGCTTATCATATTTTTATACCACCTCTCTAATAGAGATGGAGTCCACCAATATAATGAGGCCCACCTTTATTAGAAATGTGGTATACAATGTGGTATAAAAATGTGATAAGCCTAATATTTTCCTTTAAATACATCTTGCATAAATAAATAAATAAACTTTTGACAATCATATAAGGAAGTAGGCTGACCTACCATATCCTAATTCATCGTACAATTATTCATTGGGTGGAGGAAATCATATAACAGACATGCAAATATACAGTACTATTTAGGTCATTGAACACTATGTCAAGATGATTAATAATGTAATCAATAAATATGGTATGTCGATGTGTTTGTTGATACCAAATTATTCAGGTTATTGAATATGATAAAATTAGTTCTACTACAAATTTATGAATATCGTTAAGTAGAGGAAATCATATAACAGACACAATCGGACAATAGTTGGCTCCTCGCTAATCATGACCCTCTTCTTCACCTAATATAGCCAAATAAAACAAATAGAGACGCTTCTTTTTTAAAGCTCTTTAAACAATTAACCAAACACTTAAAATATACCACATCTTGTAACTATAAAAAGAAAAAGTAAGCAATGAGCTTGTAGCTTAAATAGTTAAGAACATTTATCCATGCATCCGAGGTTCTAAGTTCAATTCTCTCCTCTCCAATATCGCTTATATAAAAATAAAAATAAAAAGCAAATACGTGTTTCTTGCTAACCAAACGTCCAAACACATGATCCACATTTTCTGGCTAAGCATTCAACTAGGGGGAATGCTAGCAACCTTCTCTCTAACCTTCTCCTTTGGACCTTCTCCCTTCTTTGCTTGACACGTGTCATTCTCTTTACACATAAAACAATGCCATTAATATATTATACAAGCTAAATTTTGCTTTCCAAGTTTACTCTTATTAAATGTATTCAATTTATCCCAAAAAAAAATTCACAACTTTCTTATTATTTTATTACTATTATTTTTAAATAAAATAAAAAAAGAAGTAATGTTCGTTTTTTGTTTTAACACAAAGGGTTTGATTGCATTTCTTATACTACTAAATAAACAAAAATATCCCCCAAATCTGAGTAGAAACAAAACAACACATTTTAATATTAGCAACGGTTACAAAACACCAAATAGTGAAATCTTTATACAATATTAAAGTCTTAGTAGTAGTAGAAACAAAAGATGATTAATCTTCCCAGATGTAGGAGTAAATGTGGGGTCGCATTTATGAGAATGAGATGGCTAAATTCTCTAAAGCTCCTATGAATCCAGGATCTGTTCAGGACCAAAATGAACACAAACGTATGAATAAGTGGTATGTTAAGATGTAACATATGTGATACTTGTTGTCTCGGTTTACTACAAAAGGTGAACAGTTCAAGATTTTATATTCACTGCGTCACCCAGTAAATCCGATAAGTATTCACTAAGGTAGGTTCAAGTCCAAAAGACACCTCGCCTGATATGTGTTATATCTAAGTTTTCTCTCAAATACGCACGTTATAATTTTCCTATACAAATGTGGGGTATTGTTAGAGTTTGTATAGGAAAATACACTTGCATGTAGTCCCACATTGGAAGAGAGTAGTTTTCTTCCATAGTTTATAAGCACCAACACATTAGAATTACTAAATAGAGTATGAGCCTAGTGTAGGCAAACTTGAGCCTCAACATGGTTTGAGCTTGGATTATATATATATTTGTGTGTAATAAATATATATATAATTAATTGTCAAAAGATGGGCCTTGGGCCTTGGGGCTCTGTTGATTTAATTAATAATTTATTTTTTATTAATTGAAAAATTCGGTTTTTCAGATAAAACCAAAATCTGAAATTCGAATTAATTAAAACAGTTAACATAACTGTTGGATGAAGAGGTGTCAGACCTCTATATAATGACAATACGATCAAACCAGAAAGACAACCTTTGAACTGCATCATCATTCTCACATTTTACACTTCCTGAGAGAATTCATACCACTGTTCGCCAGAAATCAAGCCACTGTGCTTAGGCTTAGATTTAAGATAGTTTAATCCTGGTGGACAGACTCCTATCGAACTACAAGCACAAGGGTAGAGGAGAAATACTGTCTAAAGGACACTGCAAATTTGCAGGACTCTATCTACAATTCAAGTCAGTATTCTACAATCTATATTATTGTTGTATTGATTCAATTATATCTATATAAAATATATTCGTTGGTCTTTATTATTCTGTTATTTTGGTTTTATATTGATTGTAAACCAACAATACTTACTATTTGTTGCAAGCATTCATGAGTATCCTTGTAGTTATCAGAAGCATCATTCCTTGTGCGTGCTTGTTCCTATAACATAAAAAAAACACCTTCATATGTATATGTTATATATGCACCTAAAAGGTGATTCCAAAAGAAAATTGATATATTGCACCTGTCTTGGCAAGGAGCTTTCCATCCCATCATTAGATAGTCCAAGATTTGCTTGTGCCTACGAAAAAAGATGAAAAGTATATTTAATAGATAGGCAATGACAATATGAGGAAGTAGATCAATATATGCCTTATGTACAGGGAAAAAATTTAGAGCATACCTTCTTTGGCTTCTTGTTATATTTTTTACCATTGGAGTTCTGATTCTTCACCCTTTTCGGGGCTCCTTTTGTATTTGAGACTCTTGGATCAAGCACATTGATATCACACAACACATTATTATTAACATTCTCTTTTATCAACGCTGTGAAAATCATATGATGTGCCATTGAGAGAATGATTTATGCTTGCACATTGTTTCAAGGCTTCCTCCAATGCATGCTTTACAATATCATAACTCTCTTGAGATAATGACCCCTCTTCAATCAATTTATTGGCTTTTCGAAACAAGTCATTGAAATGCTGTTTTTTGGGGTCAACTTCTTTTGACATATGTCTACTGGTATATCCATTCCTTGCATCTTTTGTCCATCGTTTTAATATGTAATGACTTTGAATTCTAAAAACGCCAGAAGACTGCAGCACAGCCATTGCATGCCTACAAAGAAACCCACTATATTCAAACAGCCGACATACACAACAGACTTCACATTTTCTTCCATCAAAGACGACCACAAAATCTTGCTTCTTTTCAAAATCTTGAACTTTAAAAGTATTTTTCATACCTTCCTCCTTTTCTTTTATAGGATAACATGCCGATACTCCTAAAACTTGTAGTTGAAACTTCCTAAAAATTTCATGTGTGTAAATAACTGACATTTGCTTCTCAAAAGGTGATGGAGATTTTAAAGTAGGCTCTTTGTGTAATGTTTTAAAATCTGCATGGGTTGCTGCTTCTTCTCTATCTTGTAAAGCCACCTTGTATTTCTCAACAAACTCTTTCAATGTAGTCTTCTTGTTTACATATTTATCAAAGAAAGAATTAATACTTTCAGATCTCTGAGTTGTAGACATTCCAGCAAAAAATGCATCTCTCATGTAAGTGGGAACCCAAAACTTGCGGTCTTCGAACAAAGATTTAATCCACTCATCGTTATCAAGCTCAAACACTTCAACCATATTCTTCCATTTTTGCTCAAAGTCCTCTTCTGTCCATGAATTGTAGATACAATTATTAAAAACTCCCATAAAATTTCCATGCTTTCTCAAAACTTCACCAAGCTTTTGAGGGATCTTTCTCAATATATGCCATAAACAGAAACGATGACGAGCATTTGGGAAAACCTCCGCATGGCTGCTTTCATAGCTTGATCTTGGTCAGTTAGTATAGCACTGGGAGCTTTCCCACCCATAGCTCTAATCCATGTCTTCATTAACCAAACAAATGTACAAGTAGTTTCATCCGCAAGTAGTGCACATCCAAGTAATGTAGACTGAGAATGATTATTCACTCCAATAAAAGGAGCGAAAGGCATCTTATATTTGTTGGTGATATATGTTGTATCAAACGAAATGACATCACCAAAAAATTTGTAGTCTGCTCGGCCTTTTGCATCGACCCAAAACACATTTACCAAACGTTGTTCTTCATCCAAATCCATTGCATAAAAAAAGTTAGGATTCTCTTCTTGCATTCTCGTGAAAAGCTCAAGCATTGCCTTAGCATCCCCAGATTCTAGTGCCAAACGACGTTCCTTATCTAGATGATTTCTAATGTCTTTTTCTAAAAACCCAATTTTTTCATATCCTCCGTATTGTTTGGCCATTGCAGCAAAAATTTTACTTGGCTTCACTCCAACCGAATGCAAAGCATTAATATTATATTTGTCGGCACTGGTGATTCTTCTATTACTTGGAAAATAGTGTATATGCTCCGGATAGAGATCATGGTTGTGCTCTCTGACAAAATGACAAACAAACCATTTTCCATCATACCTTCTTTTGACTTCCAAGCTTGCTTTGCAATCTATTTTCAAGCAAGGCCGTGGGTTAATAGCATCAGATTTTCGTTTTTTCCCATACCTCGTACAAGCAAATTTTGCCCCAATCCATTCTCCAGATGTCTTTGACCGACGACAAGATACCTTGGAGGCAGCAAATCCTTTTTCTTTGGCATACTCTGAATAAAATTCATACGCCTTGTCATCTGAATGGAATTCCATTTCACTAATGTCTGTGTCTTCATTAATAAAGCTTGCACTCTTAAATATATTAGTGTTATCTTGACTCACACCATCAATTGCTTGTGCCTACGAAAAAAGATGAAAAGTATATTTAATAGATAGGCAATGACAATATGAGGAAGTAGATCAATATATGCCTTATGTACAGGAATAAAAAATCACCAAAATCGAATTCAATATGAAAACCTAAATATATTACAGTTTAGATTAACAAAAGAAAAGCTAAAGAAATACCCATCAACCTAAGAAAATATTTTCAGAAGATATCAATTTTCAGCACAATAATACATCAGAAATGAAAAAACCATACCTTTGACCAAGATTTGGAGGGAGAGAAGCTGAACAAGACAGAGTTGAAAATGCAGAGCATCTTCCTCCGAAAGATAAAGCAAAGAGAAGACGTTTTAGCTTCAAGGGCAAATATGGAAATATAATTTTTGGTTTTTCTATAATAAATAGCATTGTTTTATGTGTAAAGACAGTGACACGTGTCAAGCAAAGAAGGGAGAAGGTCCAAAGGAAAAAGTTAGAGAGAAGGTTGCTAGCATTCCCCTTCAACTAGAGTACCCAAGCATGCACATTCCCAAGGATTGCCTGTAATGACTTTCAAGATCTTAATTTTATCTTCTTCTCTTCTTCTTTTTTTTCACCAAATGCATACGCATCTGTCTTGAAAATTGAAATGGTCCCAAAATAATGTAACTGGTCCCTTGAAAATGGGAAAAGAAAGAACAAGACAAAAAAACAAACCATGCATGTGCTGAAGCTGAACAGTGTACGTAATATTGGTGGCGTTGGAAAAGCATTGAATGAGTGAGTGGCAATAACCCAAGTTCCAGAATCTCAAAGTATGAAGATATCCACCTCCACAATGCTTATGATCTGAAACTAATTTGGGTAACATTCTAGATTTATTAGATAAAAATAATAATGAGCTTCTAAAATGACCTTCTTGGGACATTATTTTTATACAAATTTATAAATAAACCCAATCCTAGACATGTATTTATAAAAAAACTTAAGCACTATTTAAACATAGAAATACACCCAAAATCAACAATTGTATATTTTTTGGGTATGTTTATAAAATGGGTTTTGAGTGTGTGTAATGATGGGTTTTGGGTGTGTTTATAAATTGTTTTGGGTGTTGGGTGTTTTTATAATTTCAGCCCCTATTTTGGGCGTTTTAGGGAAACTCCCTTATTTTTAAGGTAATGGACAAATTGGCCAAGGTAGTGGTCTTGGTGCAGCTTGTGATCTGCAAAAACTTTGGCAGCTTTCCTTGCATTGCTTCTTAGTTTCTCTCCTTCCTCTGCCACCATGGCATGTCTCAGTGCTTTGGCTATATCATCTTTGCAAAACGACCCATCTTCCGTGCGTTTTAGTTCAACAGCCAGATCCTTCTCCACCAGAAGCCTTGCGTTCAAAGGCTGATCAATAATGAATGGCAAAACAATAAGAACATGCCCAAATTGCAGAGAGTTTCAATTACAGAGCCCCATCCAGAGTGAAACAGAGACCCCCAACGGATGCGTGCCCCAAAATTTCCATCTGAGGCACCCATCCCAAGCAAACAAGCCCTTTCTCTGATGTGAGCTCAACAAAACCAGGAGGCAGAGCATCAGCATCACTGTCAGCCCAATTGGGTTTTCTGAGTGCCCAGAGAAATGGAAGCTCTGATAGCTCAAGCCCATGAGCAATCTCAAAGGCTTGTTCTTTGCTCAGCTTACACTCAGATCCAAACCCAACAAACACAACTGACTTGGGTTTTTGTTTATCAAGCCAGTCAAAGATCACATTGTTTGGTGACCCATCAGAACTAATTTCCCCTTTTGCCCTTCTTGCATGCTGCTCTGGAGGAAGCAAACCTGTTGGAATCACAAGCTTTCCAGTGATTTTCTTGTAAATCTCCAAGTATTCTCCTTCAAACTCATTGCAAGTACGAACGGCTAAAGCTTGACTTGCAGATTGAATCTTGGCAAGCCTTGCAGGCTATGATAACCCCATCACCCATGCTGCTCTTGTGAAGAATATTGGAAGGGGATTGAGAAGGGAGGCCAAGAAAATCCCAACTCCTAGTCGTTTGCAGATTGTGAAGGCTATTCGGTATGACTCGAACAACACCAGGCAGCTCTAGAGTTCACCATTTCATAAGTATAAAAAAGCAACAATAAGCACAAGACTTAATGATGACATCTGAAGGTATAGCTCATGAATCCATTACATACCTATATTGTAAATAATTATCAATCATTGCAAACCAGACATATCTTTGTTGCACTTTTAAAATATACCTGAAAGTTTTTGGGCTTGAGACTCTGTGAGCTTGGCTGCAAACCCAGAGAAACCATGTCTATAACTGTATACCATTAATTCTGAGGCCAATTCCTTGCTGCAGCATAGGAACCAAATTACTTAATAAATATATTACTCAAGATTTGGATCATTTAAGCATCCTAGATTTCAAATTCTAAATCCATGTAAATTACCTTCCCACTATGGTGGCAAGCAAATCATGATGTGAATCTGTGAGCAACTTGGGGTTGTCATGCTGCCTCTCTCCCAGATAAACAATGTGTACCTGTTGGTTGAGAGATATATCAGAACACCATATTCAAGAAAAAAAGAAAGAAAACGAAAACCTTAAAGAACAAGAACAAGTGTTTGAGATGTGGAAACATATATATAACATACTCGGCTATTTGCAGCCACCTTTGCTATCATTCCCTGGCCATTAAGAAAGCAGAGAAGGCAAAGTATAGCAAGTACTGAACTTGGGCTGCTCATATTGTCTCTACCACATAGAGAAAGAAAAGGGTTGGAGAAGGCTGATCAGAGACCAATTAAGGATTCAGAATATATCAAATATATGGATTAGAAAATACTAAGTCAAAAATCACTTGCTATAAAATATACCAAATGCATATATGAAAATTTGATGAATTCTGCAGAACGTGGTTGTTACTTTACTCTATTTATAACGGCATTTCAGGTTGGTGTATTTGGAGGCATTCCGAGCCTCTACATTTAGGTAGTGTGTATTTACCCGTATTTCACTAAATCTTGATTATTATAATAATCTAATGACTTGAAATATGACACATCAAACCTCAATTTAACACCGTTAAGTCTTCTCTAAAAACAAGCCGTTAAATCTAAATAAAATTAAAAATTAAAAACAAATAATATAAAATAATAAAAACAGCCACTGAAACCCAGCAACCACCTATAGCCCAACCCACCCTACAACACCGATGGTAACCATGTCCTTCTTCACCAACAGCCAACCTCTCCTCCTCTCTCTCCCCCTCTTTCTCTCTTTTCCCTCGTGTGTCCTCCATCTCTTTGCCCAACGTCATGCTCAATTGATTTTTTCAAAGAGGAGCATATCATACATTGGAAAAGGATGGAGGCAACAAACTGTGCACCATCCCCTTCATCCTTGCTAACGGGGTATAGTACTAGGAGTTTGATGTGTCATGTTTTAGATCGTTAGATTATTAGAATGGTTTAAGATATAATGAAATGCGAGTAAATGTACACTATCTAAATGTAAGAGCAACTCCACCTATCTGCCCTTTACCAATAGTAGCTGCCCTTGCAAAAGGTTGTGATGTTTCCACCAATTGTCATGGCAACAACTATTCACATGATATATGAAGAGAGAAATTTGTATAGAGTTTTGGTGTGGGAAGTGAAAACTACAATTAAGTATTTATTTTTAAAAAATTCTGAAATTTTTTGTATTTTTTGTAGATTTTTTTATAAAAAATTTTGTTGCTGACTTCAGCAAATTGGGGTTGGACCTAGGGCAGATCTTGCCTGAGGGCCAGCCAGGGTTCGTGGGCTCTATATCCTGCCAGGGCAAGACAGGCCCGCTGGAAATGGATTTCTGGCGCTACCTCCCCAGCCTCGGGCCTGGGCTCGTGGGTGGAATGGCTCTAAAGGCTCGGAATCTAGCTTGGAGGATCAGTAAAATCAAGAAAAGTTATGGGAAACTATAAGGGGGTGTATTCAATTGAGATTTTAAAAGACTATTTATGGATAAATAAGTCCAGTGGATTTTAAAAGACTATTTAAGAATGTAATGACTTATAAGATTTTTTGAAAGATTTTTTATACTCAAGATTTTTTATGTTTGGATTTTAAAGATTTATATTATAAGAATTTATAAGATTTGAAAGGACCACATGGATTTTTTATTTGTACAATAACCAACCAACTTAGTTGTGGGCACTTGCATCAGCAATAACATAAACGGGATCAAATGGAATGGAACAATAAATAAAAGCAAACATTCAAAGTTACAAGAGTCAATGAAAAAGATAACAAAGAAACACAATTTTAACAAAGAAAAGTAAAATTCAATAAAGTTTTCCCAATCTTTTAATAGCCAATTTGATGTAGCTTCATGTCCTCCTAAGTAGCATTTCTCCACATATCTAAAGCTATGGTAGCTCTCCATGCATTAGCATTTTCTCGTTGCTGCTCTTGGGTTTGAACAATAGGTTCCAAATTCTCTTCTTCATTAACTGGTAATACTGAAGATGAAGAAGATTCGTCCACTGGTTCAATTGGAAATTCATAAGAACGACACTCTTTGCCCTTTCCTTTGTTATTTCCTTGTTGTGAATCCCCCATTAAATTACTACTACAATATATGTAAGAAATTTATTAGTTATTTCACAAGAATACATATCATACCAAACAAGAAAACCAAAAAAAATTGCTTCCAGGTACAACAATAATAAGCATATTGATTTCAACTAACTGCTTATTTTATTTAATTCTTGAGTGCTATTTTATTATTACAACAAAGATTCATCCAAATCAACAACACCCCATCTCAACCCTCAATCCAACCAAACAAACGTCACAAGCAAAGCTTGGAAAAATAAAAGGGGGAAGAAAGGAAAGAAAACCCAAAGCCAGGCAACAACAAGAAGCATGAATATATTCATATACGAAAATATGGAAGATATCTCAACAGCAACAGAGCCTTTCAAAAACATGTAAAAAGCAAAGTACCCATTACAGAATAAGGTCACATGATTATAGAAAACGATGTCGGCATGGTTATAGAAATTGAAAAAGAATTATTATATCAATAGATGCCAGCATGGTTATAGAAAACGAATACAAAATTTTTTTACCAGCAAAGAAAACATAGCATGGCATATATTTGATACATACAATAAACGCAAGAAGACATAGCACGAGAAGGAAGCAATACCTTATTCACGAAGAGCTGTTTATCTTCACGAAGAACTGTTCATCTTCTCTCGCAGAGAGAAAAAAATCTCACATAAAAAGTCTGACGGGTTATGGTGAGATTTTTTTTAGGATTTGGTATTTATACCTCCCACTAAAAAGTCACACAAATTCCTTCTTTTAAAAAAAATCCTTCGAAATTAGCAAGTTTTTGAATACCAAAAGACTTTTTATTATTTGTTTAAAGTTTTGATTGAATACCACTAGATTTGGATACCCTCTTTAAAAAATCATAATAGTCTTGTTTGAATACCATAAGACTTATTTATCCCAAAATAGTCTTTTAAAATCCTAATTGAATACACCCCCCCTAAGATTATGAACAATGTGAAAAATCAAAACTTCAAATCCCTTAATCAGTTTTCCATTAAATCATGATTTAAACGCGTTCAATTTTCCTGTTTCCATTTCTCCTGTGCCCACCTGTTTCCTTCTTACTTTGTTGACATGTGTCCTCTAACTTAAGGTTAACTCTGTTAAGTGTCATTTTTATTAACAAAATATTAAATGTTAAAATAAATTTATTCAAAAGCACGGTCACTTCATCTTCCCTGGCACCCACTACCATTCATTTCAACAAACATGCCCTCTTTACCCCTCTCTCTCTCTCTCTCTCTCTCTCTTTGCGCCGCCATAACAAATGCAGACCCCCGGGGTGGTGGAATATGTGGTTCTTTAAGTCGAAGAAATTTGAAGGAAGTTGTTCTTCGCGTGTCCCACAAATATTCTTCATGGCCTGGCTATTCCCAAATCAACGCCTCCATGATTGCATCTGTAAAAATAAAAAGGGATTGTCGCACACTGGGGTGGGGTGGTTGTGGTGGGTGTGTGGCTGCTGCGTTTTATCTTTTACTTCAATTTCGGGTTTTTTTATTTATAAATAATTTGATTCAAAATTAACAACGTTTTGTGACATGTTTTTTTTTTTTTAATCAAAAGATAGCTCCATAAAAATCCAAAAAAAGGCCAAACAGAAACAGCGAGAGAGAGCCCATGCAAACTTCCTATCATGAATATAAGATTTAGATACCTTGTGAATAACAGACCCACACTTTCTATATGGTTCTAAGTAACGACGCCAAACAGGAGACCACAAATTCTATTCGATCATGAATATCAGATTTGATCCAATAAGTGATTGACGCCAAATTAGCCACTCTTTTATGGAGAAACAATATCTCCTAAAACAAATTAATTAGACTAAACGAAGATAATATTTTAACTTAAATCAAAATAGAGTCCAATTAAGAAAGTAATCTCAAGAAATAAAATCTAATCCTATTAAAAATAGGGCTAATATAAAAATGCATGAGTAAAAATAACTCCAACTAGGAATCCTATAATGAATGCATGATTATGTCATGAATCAAGTTCCTCATTTTGATCAAGTCGCACTTCGAAAGTATGCGGTTGAATGAGTTGTGCCAAAGCATCCAGTAACAATTCTTCACACACTAATTTTCAACCTATGATTGAGTCTAGGAAATGACAATACAATTTTCATACTAACAAAGTTATTTTAGGAGCTCTCAATAAAATTTAAACTCCAATTATGCTCTCTAGTTTAGGGAGTCATAAATGCTATAACTCTTTTTTAATTGGTCAATCTCTATTAAAAAAAAAGGGAGTTTCACTAAAACACCCAAAATGGGGGTTGAAATTATAAAAAAACCCAAGCACTATTGAAACATATAAACACACCCAAAACCCATCATTACACACACTCAAAACCCATTTATAAACACACCCAAAAAGTTGACTTTGTGGTTGATTTTGGGTGTGTTTCTATGTTTAAATAGTGCTTGGGTTTTTTTATAAATACATGTCTAGAATTGGGTTTATTTATAAATTTGTAAAAAAATAATTACTATTAATTAAAGGTTTGAAATACTCATTAAATTATAGGGAGCCACTAAGAGTCCTTTCTCTCTTCTCAGATTTAGAAGCTCTTAGAGGTCTTCTTATTTTAGAAAGTGGATAAAGAGCATGATTGGAGATGTATTTTTTCAAATCCTCCCTAAAATTTGTCTAAGGAGATAATTTAGAAACTCAATTGTGTATACTCTTACTGGAATAGTTTTTGTCTTGAATGATGATGCCTTTGGTGGGAGATAAGGTGCAATGATGGGTGAGGTTCTTTGACCAACATCATTGTGGCTTCCTCATGCGGCTGGTTACTTTGGCATGCATGTGGAATGGTTTTTTGAGAGAAAAATCAGCACCTCTTGTTTTATGCAAATGTGGGATCCACCATCATTATGGCTGGGATTGTTTTTTCTTTTGCTTGTGAGGTATCACCCGTGGCTACGTAAGGAATGGGTGAGTTTGTAAAGAAGTGTGCATGTGAGCCGCACCAAAGGCATGATGAAGGTGTGAGCTGGTGTGCTTCAGCCACACCAAGGAAAGGCATGAGAGAGGGAGAGTGGGTTGCTTGTGAGATGCAAGCAAGCAGTCCATAAAGTCCTGAAAGATGTTTCAGCTGGGAATTAGCTGTCATTAAGAGTTCAAGGGATGGTATATCTCTTGGGGAGAGAGTGTTTTTCACATGTATGAGAGGGCAAGGGTAGAACTAGAAATTTTTCAACGGGTGGGCTAGTTAAAGTTATGCTTAAAATTTAATGATTATTTTTTTGGTACTTACAATTTCTGTAGTCTTTGTAGAAATAAAAGTAAACATTAAATCATATAAACCAAGCTAATTCATAGCTTCATAGACTAATTTTCAATAAGTTTTAACATAAACCAAATAGAGTTTAACACCATAGTGGATTGAACATCTAAGGGTTTTTACATAGATTGACCTTAGGTTCCTTCATGCATTCATATCATACATGAAAAGTTGTTTTATGTAAAAATATTGACTAAGTATGAAAAATGGGTTTTCAGAATAATCATTTTCTGAAGATAATTTTTGGCGGCTTTTATTGCTCACACATCAAATAAGAAAACTTGATTTTATGGGATTTTAGTATGAAGTATATATTGACTTAATGAGTGGGGGTACTTCCTTATTTACATTGTAAACTTAAGGTAAAATGACAAAGACAAAAGTAAAATGAAAAAGACATTTACTTAAATGTTGAAAATGGAAATAAGGTAATTTGCACAACGCCACTGACTGGGCTAATATTGAAAATACGTTAAATATATAGTTTTTATATTTTTTTTCTTACAAAACCACACAGGGCTACAGCCCACTGTAGCCCTTAGTGTGGTTCCGCCCTTGTGAGAGAGGGTGTACAATGGGTGTATCCTATTGGATACGGGACTCTGGTTTGGGTATAAAACTCTTGAGTATTCTTGTATCTTTCTCATGTTATAGTGAAGGTGGTGACTCTCTGGGGATGTAGGCAGGTTATCTATCGAACCCCGTAAATTCTTGGTGTGTTCTCTCATGTATTTACTCATTGTCATCTTGAGCTTGTTGGTTTGTTTGTTTATTTCTTCCATCGGGTTATGCTGTGACGAGGGGGAAACCAATGTTTCCCCAACATTTTAGACAATAGGGATATATTAGGAAGAAAAAATTTAAATACAAAATTTTGAATCAACATGTCAAAAATGAAATGTAATTTACGTGACAAACTAATCAAAGGACTTGTATCAACAAACAATAATTTGAGGACTAACCCAACTATTAATTGAATTTTTGGACCTCTACCAACTTTTCTATTTGAAGTATTCTCTTGTCTGCACATGTGTGGTTTTGCATTGTGTTGAGAATCTTTTGCTTTTGTCATGAGGATTTGTTAGTATGAAAATTGTGCTGTCATTTCCTAGACTCTAGCATAGGTTGAAAATTAGTGTGTGAAGAATTGTTACTGGATGTTTTGGCACAACTCGTTCAACCCCATACTTCCAAGGCATGACTTGACCGATATGAGGAAACTAATTTCAGGTAAATCATGACATAATCATGCATTCATTATAGGATTCCTAGTTGGAGTTATTTTCACTCAAGTATTTTTATATTAATCATATTTTTAATAGGATTGGATTTTATCTCTTGAGATTCTTTCCTAGTTGGACTCTATTTTGATTTAAGTTCAAATATTATTTTTTCATCATCTTTGACTTGGAAAGTATGACTCTTTTACCCAAACTAGTTTTCATTGAGTAATATTGTTGACTTGTATAATCTGATAGGATTGGAAGGTAATCTTGAAGAAGGAACAAGATGACGAAATAGAATAGGACTTTGATTCAATTAAATCTGATTAGGCACGTTTGTGATACCTTGGTTTTATGAATTGTCTCTTGCAAGATAACAATATAGTTGCATAAAGCCAAGGCGTGCATCTGCTTTTTAAAACAGCTTTTGATATTTGTGTTGAGAACATAGAATTCTTAAGAAAAAGTTGATGTGCATATATTTGAGATAAATCGTCAAGTGTTCCATGTTTACTTAGTGATTTATCAAACATTTTAATCATTCATATTGCATTCATTTGCATTGTTCGGTGACTCATACGGTTGAGGGCACCAAGACCGTGGTGGCGGTTTTCCTTTGGCGAGCTTGAAGCAATCGTGACTAGTATTGCGTTCAAAATAAGGAGTGTCGAAGATCATCCTGTGATAGAAGTTGAGTTACGAAGAAGTCGGTAAACATTATCTAGAATGTGTCTAGGATAAGTGTGTGAGTACTTCTTGTAATCATCGTTCTATAGTGGATTTGTGTTGAACTGAGGAGTCTCATGGATTTTCCCCAGAGATGGAGTTTTACCACATAAAATAATTCTCTGTGTGTTATTTTTATTTTAAGCTCTGCACATTTCAGGATTGATAACTCATATCAATCCTGCTTCGAAAGTTAATTATTATTTATTGCTAAAACTCGAATTAGCCTATTTAACCTTCTTTAGGCAGTTGTAACGTAGTCGAGGGGAGCCGCTCAAACCCTAGCCGCTCTCTCCCTCTGTGAGTCCTAAAGGAAAATTCCATAGAGGGGGAAGGAGGAAGAAGCGTCATTGCCCTCCCTCCCCTTCTTCTCTTCTCGTCTTTTTCTTTTAGGTTAGTGAATAAGTTCACTGGGGTGGTTTGAATAAAAA